CACACACACACACACACACACACACACACACACACACACACACACACACACACACACACACACACACACACACACACACACACACACACACACACACACCAAATTGAATAGCTGAACGTTTAGAAGAGAAATCTTATTAAGAGGCTTTTTATTTTTATTATTTGTAATTACCTAGTTTACATGTTCACCGTTTCGTACGATCATCGAGATCATAACAATATCTGTAAAGGAATAAAAGAATGATATAATAAATTACTAAATACAAAAGGAGAACTATTAAAATTGAAAGTACGGATTATTTGGACGTTTATTCTCTGACTGCACTACTTTTATATAGAAGCGAGCAAATCTCAGCGTACCTGATAAAGAATGAAAATGAATATTCTTGGTTAAAACTTCTAGACAAATTTTGCTGTCGCTTTGCCATATTATCATCTGCACGTATATACATATTGTCCTGGAGAATGAGTTAAATACAACAATTACTTTGTATGCTGGTTTACGTTCTTTACTTTGACATTTTATGATCCAAAAAATTTGTCTCTCTTCAAGTTTGATATTTGTAAAATTTGTTTACTTGTTTTCATTTAGACGATTAAACTTGATTATTATATATAAATGAACGAATGATTTATATTTCTTAATCCGTTTTGGGTGAAATATAGCATTCCTGAATGTTTTCGAGTTTCTAATAAAAGTGGAATTGATTTGACAAAAGTTCTAAGAAATTAGACATTATGACTTTATTCATTCAGCAAGTAAAATATAAAAACAATACAATAAAATAAGCTATTCTTCTTAACATATCAGTCGCATGTACAATATAATAACAATTTCTATTCAATACTAACTCTAATACAGTTTTGTTATTTGTCAACTTAAGATTTATAACTTAGAGGAATTTATTGTAAAGTTGTGCCCGTAAACGTTACTAAAATTTTATAGTAATCTTGAAAATTATAATTAAACGTATTATGTCAATTCTTGATACATAATTGTTCCACAAAAGTACAAGCAACTTAGGCTTCACCTGAGAATAACTACTTCTTCATTTATATAAGTATTATAACTAAATTCAATGCTAAAATCTTACAATTGGTGCATAGTACCATACTTTCATTTCAAATGCTGCAAGCTAACTGCATAACACTGTTAATTTTCTTTTGCATCAACTTAATATACAGGCTTCTTTTTCTGTTGTGCTTTCTTTAGTATAATTTTCTACAATGTTTTTATCGATACGACAAATACAAGGAATTGAGGTGGCAGTAGTGATTTTTAAATTGGACGATTGTGTGCAAACAGTAGTTACTAAATCATTGCAATTGTTTGGTGAGTGCTCCACAAACTGCATATGATTGTTTCTATTAGCACGACAATCTTCAGTTTTACATCTTACAGATTTTGATTTGAACACAATAGGTATCTGCACTTTTCGCCTGGGTAACCTACATCTGATTGATCTTTGATCACATAAAATATGCGAGTTGATTATACATTTTGGCCTAAAACTCAAAAACTCCAATTTTTTATATTTGGATTTTAAATATTTATTATTTACGCCTTTCGTTAAGAGCAATATTGTAACGAAGTCTTCATTAGAAGCTAAAGATTTTTGCTCATCATTTACACTAATCAAATCAATTGCTTTATTCTTTTTCTCTACAACATGACTTAATCCGTTTGACACAGTTTTTTTATTTTGTATTACTGGTAAATTGTCTTTAAGCATGGCGTCAGTTTGGGTACAATTTGAAATGTAACAAATACTTTTTTTATGCTGTAATAAATTTAGTGTTTTAGGTGTCGATGTAGCAAATGGTAAAAAATCCGTAGTACTAAAATTATGAAACGATGAAGATTTTTCACATTGACATTGGATATTTTTTACATCTCTTGAATTATCAGTAGAATGCAATATCTGTGATTTAGCATTGCAGTTCTTGTAACTTTTATCCTTAACGTTTTTCTTGTGTATGTTTTTTTCACTAATTTCCTGAATAGTTATATATTTGTTTTTAACATAATCAGAATTATATCCTGATTTTAACTGCCTACTTTGAGGACATTTTACATAACTACCGATCGAACATGGCTTCTGCACATAAATATTTTTTTTCTCAGGGATCTGTGTAATTATATCTCTTTGTTGTTTTGTCTTCGAATTTTCTGAAATAGTAACAGATTTTTCATTTGCTTTTCTCTTAGCTCTCATATTTTTGTTCATCACGATTAATTGTTCTTCTAATGTTTCAGTATGCTTTTTAATTTCTTGTAACATTTTCATGCACTCTGGTCTCATTAACTCTGTTGCATTAAGAGAATTGTAATTCAATTTTGAGGTTGCCTTTTCATTCCTTGCATTGACATAATTGCAAGCCTTGTTTTTACATCTCATTTCTTTGTTTGCATAACTTTGAACTTTGGATTCTGTTGTATCTTTATTTTTGAATTTTTTGACTCCTTCCAACATGTTTTGCAATATATCCAAAGCACTGTCAATTGTACTTATGCATTTGTTTTCACATTCATTGTCATGAAAGTCTCTTTCAGACTTCATGAATTGTATATTTGTAGTTGTGTTGCAATATTCATCCTTTTGTTGATTACTTAATACGGTACAGTTAGTGTTATTACAATTTGTGTCAGTACAAAAATCACTGTTCTTTTGAATTAACAAATTTGTTAATTTTGTAGTTCTGAATGGAATTATAGGAGGTGTATCATTTCCGTGATTCCGTGGTACACTGTGTGTTTCATAATTATTCATGTACTTGTGTATTTGGTTAGTACAAAAGGTGTTTACAAATTTACTGCTTTTCATCCAATTTTTGCTTGTCCTGCAACTTGCAAATTTTATTGAATTTTCTATTGTTCTAAATTTAGAATTAGGCAATGTATTTTTAGATTTAAGCTTTAAATTTGTTTCCATCAAGTTTGCAGAATTTTCTGAAGTTGATTTCAAATATGTTTTTGGAATATTAGTAAAATCTTCAGTTTCATTAGTTGTTTTTAAATTAAAAGATTCATCTTCTTTTGTCTTTCTAGACACCTTATTGCTTTCATCTTCTCTGATACTACTCTGTAATTTTTTCATAGGAAAATTCTTTAAAGGTAATTCTTTTAAGGGCACATCCAATGCTTTTGTCGTATTTCCACGTAACATTGTCGTTTGTCCTAAATCTGTCGTATTAACCTTGGGAAACAAGTTCGTTTTAACTGTATCAGCATTAAATTTATGATAGTACATCTCAGGTGGATGAATAGGATAAGTCCAGGGTGATGGACTTCTCCTGTACTGAATTTGTGAAACGTTATTAAAAATTGAAGCCTTGTTACCTTGATTATATTCGCCTCTATTTTGCCATAATTTTAACTGTGATATATTGAAACAATTTTCTGTATTACAGGCAGTGTTATCATATTTCTTATTGAATGAATTAAATTGTGACATGTCCAATGCCTTTAAATCAGTTTTCATTGAATCTTCATTATTTGGAAGCATTGGTGTATTTTCATTTTGTATACTTTCCTTTTGTACATAGTTAGACTGACTTGAGTGCATTTTACTATCTGGCTGTACTATTATGTTAATGCAAGGAACATCATGTTGAGCATCTTTCGTTTGGTTATCATATTTGCCGTTATTTTCTTCATTCAAAGATCTTGACTGTAATACACCAGTAGAAATTACCATCATGCTTCTTTCCAGTAGGCCATCATACTCCTTGCTTGTTTCACTCTGCAAATATCTATTGATCAGAGTATATTAAATATGACTTTATATAACCACATTTAGATCTACGTTAAAACTTTCAGGTGTTGAGTTTAAAGATCTGCAAATGAAAAAAAAATATTTTGTTGACTCGTTATTGACTTGAATGAAATTTATAAGAATAAATCTAGAGGTCAAATCATGAAATTTTCTATGTTGTAATAGTAACTACTACTTCTACAGTCACTTTGTGCAAAAAAATATTATATTAAAATAGCTAATGGGACTGTTACAGAACATGTATTAAACAGTTTCTGATGCGATTACAGAGGCTTTGTATGTCTGTTAGAGTTCTTAGTATCGTTCTGCTTTGAGGCATCTGCTTCGTTATTCGAAATAGAAGGCGCAAATGGTGATCTGTCCGACGGTGGATCGTGTGAAACGTTTCTCGAGGGCAAACACTTGCAACATCGCGCGCCACTAAGTGTATGGAAATATTTAGGAATCGCGGTGTAAGGTTTCTTCAACCAGTCTGCTTGCCTGGCAGTTCAATTTTGTATATTTTTATTTACCAACCATGAAGAATTATGTAATAATGCAGAGTATAATGTTTTTTCCGGTGGAAACAATAATTACTTTTTTAAAAATAAAATCATCAAGATATAACTACCAAGTAATAAAAATAATTTTAAAAAATCCACCTCTGCACTTAAAGTTGCTTTTATTTAATTATATTATTTTTCTACCTGTGTTTTGTATCATTGGATTCATTGAAATTTTGATTATTAGGAAGTGGAGTTTGGGCAAATGAATCAAGAGGATCTTGTGAACATCTAAAACAAGATATAAGCCAAATAATATTCAAATTTTTAGCAATGAGAATTTTATCTACCAAGAAATTCATATCCTACAATAATAGTTTTACGATATATACCTGCGATTCTCTTCTTCTTTTCTGGCACGATCAAATCGCTCATTCGTGACTTGTCTACGCAGTTCACTGATTTGCTTGCAGTATTCTGCAGCCTGATTTTGATACTGTCGAAGTTTCGACGATTCCGAAGATCTATAAGATATTAAATGATGAAAAAATGTAACTTAAAACGTGTTAAATCTATTGTTAAAATAATTATAATTGGCAGTAGGTAATATTTAAGTGCTTCTTACAACTTGTTCTGAAGCTCAGACATTTTCTGCCTTAATCTGGACATCTCGTTTTGGAGCTCCTGGTTGTTAGTCTGTACAGTTATAGATTCTTGTCTCGCCTGGTCCAAAAGCATCTCGAGATGCTCCACTGTTGCGCGATCCTTGATCATTTGGTCTTGAATTACGGATTGTTCCGCCTTTAATTTAGCAATTTGCATATCATACTAAAAATTAGAGGAAATTACAAATTATTTGTTTTATTTAATTACCATATTGTGTACAAACATGATAACTCATATATTCCAAATCACTATATGTCTTTCCTTTTCTAGCTACTTGTATTTCGTTATAATTGAAGAAAATAAAATAAAAATTCTCATATTCAAGAATGAATCTATAACTATTCACCTGTGATTTAAGTGAATCTTTATCATCAAGCTCGTGCATAAGCGTATCTTTCTGTTGATCCAGCTTCATGCACAGATCTCTGACAGCAATTAAGTCAGCCTCTATTCTATGTCTCTGTTCCCCTTGCTGACGCAACTGCGTTTCCATGCTGGCCACATTTTGAGTTAAATCACTAATCTAAAAATGAAAATTAATGCAATATTCTTCTCCAATAAATATAGAATTTTTCTGAATTGTTTTCTTTAACATATAATGTAAAAATAATCAACCTGTGTCTCATAGCTTCTTATTAAACTCTCCCTGTCGGCCAATTGTCGTTCCAAATCTAACATTCGATCCGTAGCCGTTTGAAGAGCACCCCTTGCTTCTGCTGCTTTTGACTCCAAGCTATGGTTGTTGTTCTCTAAAACGGTAGCCTCTAAACTCAGGCTTCTGAAGTGATTCAACATTTCCGTTCTTTCATTTTCCTGCAAAATATATCTTTTTCACAAACTACATACACAAAGGGATATAAAGAAATTTTATTGTTATCTTTAAAGTGTTAAAAAAAAAAAAGGAATATATTATCCAAATACATTTTTGTACTTGTTTTTGAAAGATTATCAAGGTAAAAGGAATTTGTGACACATTAGACAAGACATTTTTTAAAAATCATGTCACGGCCATTTCAAGGTTACTCTCAAACAGTTAAGGAGTCATAATAAAGTAGAAGCCCGCCAGCTATGTTTAAATATCGAAGATGTAAACTCAGAATACGTCCTTCAAATAAAGTATGAAGTGTTTGAAGCACTTATCTTCTCTTCTGTTTCTACACACTTCTCCGTTATGATCTTGGTTAGTAGCTTCAATGTTATTAAATGTCTCACTGGTATTGAGAGTAAGAAAAAATGACAATAAGAGTTCCCTAAAGTTATTTTTAATGAAGATCATTCCAAGATCATCGACATCTTTTTTACTGTTTAAAGTCACTTTAAGGTCATAATGTAATAGTTCGTTGATCTTGTCTCGATGTCGATGACCTGGGAATGACTTTCATGGTGACCTTGGGGAATTTTTCTTTAACATCATCAGAAGCGCATGTTGAAACCGTGTAAACACCTCTTAACCATTTTTTTTTTACTTTCAACACCAGCGAATATAATTTAGATGTTCGTTATAATTGAGACACCCTGTATATTATCATTTACGGAACACAAATACGACCTTGAAACAAAAATGAGAATCAGATTTTTATTTACAAGTCTAGATGTCCTTGGAAATACTTGATTGCAAAAATACTATAAAAATACAAATATTTTCAAAAAAAATATTCTGAAATATCTTAATTATAAGAAATATTTTCAATTTTAAACTTTTTCCATTTTTGAAAACAATTTAACATTAAAGTCACCTTCCTATTAAGAAGCTCTTCAGCCCTGCGGACCTCGCTGACGTAAGTTTGAAGTTGCCTCTTCAGATCGAAAGATTGAGCGCGGGACGTTTCTAATTCGCGCTCTAGATTTCTCACTTCGCAAGTCGCCGCCGCCAAATCGTCCTGGATTCGTCGATTCTCCTGAATCGCGTTCTCCCGATCGTATGTGACGGTTTGCAGTTGTCGTTGAAGATTCTCTATTTCTATTTGCATCGATATCAATTGCCTCTCTTTATCTGCACTCTGATCTACGCATATACTGGTATTGAAAATACAAAACGAAAGATATTATTTTACAGAAACATACAGAACAACATATTTTGATACTTCGATCGATTGAAATTGCTGTTTCTGTTCTTAGTTATTGGATAAAAGGTACATAGTATGTCAAGGACGCTGCAAGGTCAACGTTTTTTCTTTTAGAAAGTTAGCTAAACAAATTTAAAGCGTATTTCTAAAATAATCATATGGCCCATAAATTGCGTTATCATTTAAAAATTGAATTTAAAACATATAATAGAAAAAAAGTTATTGTTTTTTTTAGGTTAAGTAAAGGGACTTGTAGGTTTGTAGATATATTATAAAACATGTGTTTAGTATTCATTTACTGGAACATAAATACTTTGTTAACCTTACTTTAAAGTATCCCTTAAAAATTAATTCAATTTGAAGAATCTACATATAAAAACAAGAACACGAATTTCCTTTATAATTTTAAACAATTGTTTCGAAAACGATGAAATGAATCACGAAGGTTGCATCAAATCTAGATGGGTATGCATAAAGGTCATGCATGGGAGTGCAGCGTATTTTCGTCAATCCTGTCACACGGTGAATACTACATCATAGTATTAATGTTTAATCCATGGTCTATTCGGTTATGCGAATCGCACGCTCATCCCTCACTGTCGCAAGCATCGTTCTGGAAAGGGGACAAGGGCAGCGCGAGTATGTCGTCGACGAATTAGGTGGCTATCACGTTGAACAGAGTTGCTTAATCCCTTTTCAACTAAAAAATATTTACGTGGCCAGATCTCGATTCGCTTGTAGATCACGTAGGCCCGAAAACGACTTTATTAGCGACTAAAAGCTGAATACGAAAAGGACTGGAGAGACTAGCAGTAGAAAGCCGACATTAAATTACAACGTGCACCGTTGCACGTGTCGTTTTATTGAAACGTTCGTTCAGTTACTGATAGATTGCCAGCTTTTTATTGGTTGCCAATTACATGGAACAGTGGATATGTATCGCAGATGTCGCTTCAAACGATATTCTAACATGCGACATAAACACTGTACAATCTCATAAAAATAAATACGTATGACTTCGAGTAAATTTATCTTCAGGATTGAATTTTTAAATTTACAAGTAGATCAAGAGTTCAGTTTCTGTCTCCAGAAATGCATTTGTAAAGCAAACTGAATCGATGGTTTGTAAAGGTAGCCGAGACAATGCTACAGTACGTTTGCACGGGTAATCGATGATCGATCGTCCGCCTCTCGATTACGCGTCTGCGCATTACGTAAGTGGAGACAACGCGCGGGCGCGTGGTCGCTCGGATTCGAAAAGGAAGTCTAAACGAGCTGCTCAGCGAACGGACGACTTTCTCTCATCTCGACATTCTTCCTCGACGCCAGCCAACTTCCTTCGATGGTCCGCATTCGCGAGATGCTGCCTTTTCCTTCGTACGAAAGTGAAAATAACTTCGAGACGTTCAACGATATTGGCCGAATCCGTTTACGTAGGTATTCCAATTCGCGTAAATGCGCCGTAAATAACGTTGGTTAACACTTTTCGGTTAAAGACATGTATGATGAGGTTTTATAAGATTTCGTAAGCTGAAAAAAACGATGCTCCAAAACTTTTTTGTTTAACTCTTAAATAAATTTAAAGGTAAAATGGTTTAGAACTATTTTTTTTTAAATATTTTTTGTAATATATTATGATAATAATGTCTGAATTGAGAATAATAATAAAGATTTTTCCTTAAGAAGTTTATAAATATCAGTAGCACGAGGTATTTAAAGTAGCATGATAATGTTCGAAAGATCGATCACACTTGTGTGATAAGAACGAGCAGAATTGTTGTGTCACGGACCCCGCGAAGAAACGCAACGAGAGGAATGCTTCTTTTAAATACGAATGCTTCCAATATAATACGTTAAATTTCGTAACGGCTATATTGCCATTACCGGTAGTATTATGTCACGTGATCAACAATAAATGATACTGAACAAGCGGCGAAGCGCCGTAAACTGGATAACAGGTCGTGAAGTGAAACACCTATGATTTATATCTTTATTTTATACTTATTAATAATACTACTATTAAACATAAACACGTTCATAATAAGTACAGAAAAAATTAAAGATTTGATGTAGAGTATTTTAATGCCTATTCTAACCATATAAATACCTTACTTAGAGAGGTTTCTAACCTATCTATACTGTCATGTGACTACAACCTGATGTTTTCTCCTGCACTTTAAGATACGGAAGACTTTGAATACAATATGAAGATCTTATAATGCGTGGATGGAGAGAGGTTAAACATTGCAACTACAGTCAACACTAGACATAACAAACTGTATATGTATCTCGCTCGCTCTCACCAATCGATATATATATCTTTTTCTCAATACTTGTATCGACTGAAGGAAAGTAAACTATTCAGTATAGGGGTTAAAAAGAGAATGACAGAAAACACCATGTTTACCTTTGACAGAACGTTTTTTTTTAATGTCCATCATGGCGTGCACATATATTGATACTACAATATTGTTGGTTATGTAACAAACATAAAAGAAATGAAAATACTGGAAAGTCGAAAAGTTTACGACATTATTAAAATTTTAACATTGTTATTTTTTATTATTAATATACTTTTGTGTTTATAAGTTACATTATCAAATATATCGCGTTATTTTCACATAGTACTAAATTAATTTCATTTTATTATGATAAAACTGGAAATACCATGGAATTGAAGAAAAAATCATTCAATGACATTTTGCAGAATAATGTTTTAGTCGACCATTATTTTCATTTTTTAATCATGTAACCTCTGTATTTATTTGAAGTATTAAATTACATTTACGATAAATAATCCGTAGATCGTCGAGAGCCAGTATCCGGCGGATGCGGAAAGGGGTACAGAAATTAAAATCAAGAAACAGAAAAAAAGAGGAACGCAACAATTTATGGCGTTCATGTAAACATAAGTTCTCATATGCGTCACGTGCACCGATGAAACGATCACGGAAGTTCACTGGTATTCATTTCCCTCTCGTTTAATTGCGGTAAGAGTTTACTTATTTTCCGCAGGCGTGCTTTCATAATCTCGGATCAACGATGGAAACCTTCAATTTACAGTTACGTTTAAGGCGCACATAACAGCCGTGGAAGAGGACAGAAAACTATAATATACATATACACGTGATCATACGAGTAATCTCGATTGGATAAAAAAAAAAGAACAAAATATTAATGTTCAATATTACAATAATTTAATAAGAATGACGAGTGTCTGGAGCTTTCTACGAAATAAGAAAGTCACTAGCGAACTTTTTCTCCGCTTTTTCCATCCTTTATGTAACACATTTTGCCTCTTCAGGAATTTTCAATCAAACGTTATGTAATATTCTTGAAAAGCTGTAGATTTTTAGCAATTTACTTTTTATCACTGAATTTTCAGAAAATATAAGGTTTTGTATTAGTCTGCTGTAGTTATTGTAATTTAAGTAGCATAGAAAGCTATAAATAGCATATTATGTTAATGAACTGTATGGTAATTGCAAGTAGCGTCATCAGTGTATAATATGTTACACATGACTTCCATAAGCGGTTGCTTCATTTAAACTGAGGTCACTACATCCAAAGGATAATATCATTTGCAAAAATCTAGAATATTCTGAATTCATAAATAGAAGTACAAAAACGAGAGGACACTTTTCCACAATTACTTGGTGTTCATTAAACGTAATTATTATTTTTTAACAATTTTTTCATTTATCTTTATATTTTAATTATTTCTTACCTGAGAAAGACTGTAATATTTTGTAGATAAGTACTAATCCCAAAGTCATATTATAATCTTTTCAAGTCTATAATACATCAAATAGTATACTGTATCAGACGATATTATACCAAATACTGTAATATTTTGTAGAGACTGACCTCAGAGTACTACCTCGACGAATAAAAATAGGAATAAAAGGAACAAAAGAGGAAAAACGAAAAGAGATCCATCTCGAACACAAAATTCAAGGCTTAGAATATGAAGAAGGTCATCGTATGTCCGTTTCGTCCCGTTAGACATTAAGCAAGACATACTTTCATTCTCGTTCATCCTGAAGAATGTCCCTGAAATCGAAGCCGCGATAGAGAAGCCTATTCGCGTGGGCTCCGACACGATTGTGTTACTGCAATCAATCAACCTGCAATCATTCGCGTCTATGTAGAGAATTTTGCAATTCTTTTTGATGGAATTTCCACTGCAATCAATTCGATCTCGGAAAATGACGGAATGTGGCCACGTAATTGATCAGGAATCAAATAAAGATCGTTCCAATTGAACCATGATTCAAAAGGGAAATTGAGCAATGAAATTTTCCAGATTTCTTCAGCACTAATTCGTGGAATAATGACTACTTGAATATACTACTCATGAGTTTGTTATTTGGAGAATGGGAATGTCATGTCCTTTTATAAATGATGAAAGAAAATTTTAAAAAATGAAAGCTTTTATGCAATTCTTTTCTTTATGTAGGTTTATCACTTCCAGTTCTCTCTCTCTCTCTCTCTCTCTCTCTCTCTCTCTCTCTTTCTTTTGTAATAACCTGATCACCTTGGTTGGTTCCAGAATAAGCGAACAGGAATTTATGAAAATTCAGTGAAGGCTACCGAATTATTATGATACAATGTTCATAAATCATAAATTCAGAAATTCCAGAATTTCAGGGTTACTTTCAATTTTTTTTAACAATACCCTATAATATTCAACATAGCTGAGACTCTCTGAAAGAATTGGAAATAAATTTAGCATGCCTGAACGAGCACTGGAATGCACTAATATTTCTGACCTCGCAAATTCTAAATTAACTTATACATAAAACTTTTTAACTATCTAAACTCAGTGAAATTTATTTTTTTGAGATATCAACTTCTAAATGAAAGTACAAAAAATTAGGAAAATCAAATGAAAATTACTTAGGTTTCAAAAACTCTCCAACCTAACCTTAAAACGTAACGTTACTATCGAACGTCGATAAGCACGTGGAGGCAGGCCGGCGAACAGAAGAACCCTCATAAAATCGTTCACACGGCATCAGAGTGCATCGTCCTAAACGCACGAGCCCGATATCTACACCGATCGGGTTGCGTTCCGGCCAGAATTGTATCTGCCTTGTATTATACACCATGTCAAAACTGAACGCCCTTTTAGAGGTGCTGTTCACCTTTACCGTTACAGGTAAAGGGCATTGCACGGTTCCTCGAAATGCAGGGAACGTCAGCACGTGAGAAGCACTCGCAACAGAATGCATACACGCGTGGAGAACCGTTGTAATCTCCTCAAAGAAAAAGAGAGAATCTCTTACGTCCTAGAGATTATGCGATATTCTCTCTTTGAAGAAACAAGGGCCGCCAAATCTCAACGTAAAATGTCGTATTTTCATCTTACCACCGCCATCTAAGGAACGTTCACGTTATTCGAGTGAGATATGACGCAAAGGTTAGGTTAGAAGGGTTCATCATTCAGACCCATTTCAAAAAAGGGACAAGATCAAGATGAGTCAGATGGGTCCTTAAAGAATCCTTTGCCTGATTAAATCGTAATGGATGTATTTATTATTTGATAATGGGTTACGTCAGTTACGTAACTCTGGAGTTGCGTAATAACGTGGATTAATAGGGGAAAGATGTTCTCCAAAAAGTAGCTGGAGAATTTTAGATGGAGAAATTGATGAAAGTTTTAATGAGAATTTAGTAGATTAGAATTAGAGAGAACTGAATGAAAATTATTCCATAAGTTGCTTTTTTAAATTTCGTTTTGTTTATTTTTTCACTGTACACCATTATATTTTAGCATTTTACCATTATCCTAATTATTTATTCCTCTTCTTCATGTAAAAGCAAGAATGTAATAATATAATGTAACTTGTTTTTCATGAGCAACTAAGAATATAATTATTCAGTATGAGGTTAGGTTAAGTTGGGTTATAATAAATGTAAAATGCTATTTAAATGAATAATGTGGCTAAAAATAGGAAATGTTACTTTATAATATTTATGTGAATATGTGAGTAATAGCTATCAGAAACTTTTCACACTATATTAAACATGTAATCCAAGGAATATCATTACGGAAAAAAGCGACAAGGAAGAAGAGTTACAAAGTACAACATCAAGCAAGAGACAAACGACATCTTAATGATTCCTGACTGTTTGCAGCTATTAATCATCCGAGAACAGGTGTTAGATTGTTTCCGCCAATATGCTTTGTGGAAGTCTGTACAATGTACCGAAACGAAAGGGACAGAAGTAAAAACCATTTGTACTACATTGGTTACATTAAAGGAAGATGAGAATATGAACATTCTTATATAAGTATAAATCAGATCTTCGTAGTGATCATTTGTACATACAGCAATAAAATCAGTCAATAAAAATCATCGATGTGTAGAAAAATTTATGACAAGGAAATATCTGAAATTTTACATAATTTTTATTACATGTCATTTTAA